AACCAGAATGCACTTGTGTCGCATGCCTTTAACTGGAGCACTCTCCTTCTCTCCGTCTCTGCATTCCAACATACTGATTGTCACACCGACTGAATACTCGGGAAAAATACATGTTGAAAGGCTACTTGAAGGGCCAAATGTTTTGCCAACAAAGATGTCGAATTTTGGCAAAGATTGAACTTCACAGGATGGCGAAAAATATTGAATGATATGCTTGAATTTACCCTTGAAACCGTAAGATATACCAGTATCTAATTTCTCCTACATTATCACTCCTGAATCACACATTAAGGTCATGAGAATAAAGAAAATGGTCACCTGGGAAGGAACCTTTTGATTGGCAAACAAATTCTCCTTGTCAGCACCCTAAGAAATGTATAAAGAACAGTGAAGAGAAGGTGCATACAGGTTTTCCTTTTTCCTGTTCGCTTGTGGAGCGAAACGCGCCGATGTGAATGCAGCTTCACACCAGGTCTGCCACATCCACATTGAGGAAAATGATGCGTCTATGCATCATTACTTTCTCAGCGAAAGAAGGCGGCAGAATTTTTGTTTAATTTTGTTTTAGAACTGTCAAAAGTCATCTTCCGGTTCATGTTTGAACAATTGAAACGTGTCATGTGACGTTACGTCAATACAGCTTTAGACCTTCGACCATATTGTGCTATTTGGTAAAAAATCAGCCATAGTGTTTGTGGGCTAGTTTCAATGCCAGTCGTTCCATTTTCATGTTGTATTTGATGGTTTGATAAGTATCTTCTGGTTTATTAGAGTGAACCGACAAGAAAGTATATTTTGGATATTTGCCCGTAACAAGGAAAGGTAGGAATTACTTATATTCGATGTTAATCTGCTATTTTCTTTAAACACGAGCTTCACGTTTGTCGAATGCATTGTACGCAGGGCAAAGGCTGTAGTCCACGCACGGTATACCCCCTGTTATGTCACCACGTTGTATTTTTTTCGTGTTGACTAGAGTTAAGGTCTGATGGTTTGTAACATGTAATTAAGGTTTTTACATCCAAACATCAATTCCGTTTAATGCGGTAATTCATTCGACGAAAGTGATTACAAGAATTAACAAAGAATTCAAGACTACTCAATTTTGGCTCGACAAAAAAGTTAGGGGCTATTTGTCTTTCATTGTAGCCTGTTCACAGGCTTACCTATGCTCTTTCGATTCTTGTGAATCCTCATCTTGAGCTGGAGCGAAATAACGTATAAGGATATAAGAAGGTGAAGAGAAGAGATAAAGCGGTCTTTGGAATTCTTCGGATCGACTATTTTATTTAGGTTTGCTTAAAAGCATTTGGTGGAGTGTCCTAACTAGCCGCACATGTTGTTATTTGTACATTAGTGCAACATCAAAAGAAAAACGTTAATTACACCTTAAAACGTTCCTTCAACGGCGTGAGAGCCATCGAGTTAGGTATGTTGAGCGAAACAGCCCTAGAAAGCCTCAGATTACTAATGTTAAAGAATGTAACAAGGAGGATATTGCGGATGTTTTGTTTCGATTGTTTGGGTCTATTCTAGATCAACTGCTTGATGGATATTGAAATTTCTCGATGGATGATTGTAAGTTATTTCAATTTTAAGTGCTACGCCCTTTTCTAGTGCAGCGTGTGTGGGAGAATGTTTCCAAGGCAGGAACTCTTTGTATATTTTTAATAAATATTCTTACGGAGGGAAGCCTCCAAGCATATAGCACCCATCTCTAGTTAAACTCTTACGTAGAATGGAAGATTACAAGGAAAAAGTCGGTTAGTTAGCCGATTAAGCCACGTGGGTATGTGAATTAGCAATTGCAATATTAAGGACTTAAAAGTATTCTCTCGCGCCGTAGTGATATTGTGAGAGCACATGTCATTGTTGACTCATGGCAGGTGTTTGAAATCAAGCGTGACTAGAAAGTCACGAAAGCTTGAATCTCGTGAGTACATTGTGAATGCAAAGGAGCCTAGTATGATTGTTAAACACAAATACATAACTAACAATGATGAGCTTTGTACACGATGTGCAGACGTCAGACCAAGCTTTCTGGTATGCTCGAGTCGAGCTTTGTTGATACGATATGATTGAATGATGATGCCCTATCACGTACCAACTGGTCTCCTAGAAAGCCTCATGGCTGGTTGAAAAATATTTTCATTCTTGCTTGTCGGTTGTTTGATTTCCGCCCTAATAGTGCGGCCAGCTGTGGCGATAAAACGATAAGATCATTCTAAGTTAGAGATAAGAATAGAATTGTGTTTCGATTTGGTCAGGAAACGGCGTCTTTTGTAAGAGGGTAAATTGCAAAACAATTTTTTTTGCCAGTTGCATTTTGTGGCTAGTTAGGTTAAGTTTTGCCGGTTCTCTTTTGGTGTCAATTGATTTTAACACCCTGTCAACACCAGTTAAAGTCAGTGATTAATAACCACCTGGTTATTTTATCGTGGACAAAGATGCATTTCCTGTGAGAGCCCAAAGGCGATGTAAATACTGTATAGACGATAACGGGTGCGAAGGCGCTAAAAAAAAACAAAAAAAAAACAAGGAGGCTTCTATAGTGCTTCACTTTCTCATGCTGCATATCCTCGTCTACTCAGAGCGCAGTAGAGACAGTTTATGTTGTTACAAACGTTGGTGGGAGAGATTTTTAAAATTGACCTCGTGATGACGGTGTTGATGGTGGAGGAGGATAGTGAAGGCAAAAGGGTTAATCTTGTCACTTTACAGGATTAATCTTGTCACAAGGCCGTTCAATTTAAGGTATTTAGTTATGAATAAAACAAAA